CAGAGGCATGGCAAAATTACAATGTCTGAATTTTATTGTTTCCTCTTCCATTATCTCACTCTATAATTTGGTTCCTGCTCAGCAAATGTCATCTCTGTCCACCTAATTGCTAGAATGCCTATGTTTCTCTTGTCCTCATGTCTAATTCATTCACAAGTTATGTTTCTATTTCCAATTAATTATTTCCATTCTGTACCTACCTATATCTTCCTTCATATGGGCAACTCACAGTTATCACTAACATCTACATAGAAGTCAGAATGATCTTTGAAAACATATTTTGTTATTTATTTGCTTAAAATTTCACAAATGGCTTCCAAATGTACTTAGAATAAAATTCAAGCTCCTCACTAACTGTGGCTATCATTTCTTCATTTTCTATACTTTGCTGCTTCCTAACTGTGCTCTACACATATTGTTCTTTTTTAGAATTCTTCGTATACTCTTTTTCCACTTGGAAGATTGCCCCACGACCCTGCTTTCTGTTGGTCACTGCTCATCTTTCAGATATCACTTAAATATCATCTATTTTCAGAACCCTTCCTCTATTACAGTTTGATAATTTATGTGTCTTGATTCTGTCTATCTCTCTATTCTAGGAATTTGGGGCCTACACGTTTTTGTTGAATACTTTATCACAGTGTTTCTACATTGTCTATCACAGTGACTCGACAATGGAGATTCATCATTGATTGTGTTGAATTAAAAAAAATAAATGACAAAAATGAAAAAAGATACACACATATAATTAAAGGATCACCAAGGGGTCCAAAAGCCAGTAATTTTTTTTCCCTCACAATGTTGCTTTAGTTTAACCACAGCTGGAAATTCAATCATTAGTGAAAATATTACTGTACACCTACCTTGTACAAAGCTGTGAAGAATGCCAAGGTCAATAAAGTTTGGTCCCTTCCCTAAAAGAGTTTATAATATTGTTTCAATATGGAAGTTTATGTGTGGGAAAGAATACAAAAAGAAAATTTAGATAATACATAATATCAGAACTGCTACCGTGCAACATATAATTGCCAAAATGTGTGACTTGAATGATCAGTATTTTCTGAAATCAGAGGAAGGGAAATCCCCTTTGAGTTAGCAGGAAACTTTCCTGGAGAAGAAAGAGAAAAGGAATCAGTTTTGTTGGTTTATTTTTCCTTTGCTGGTATATATTCCACTGAAAGTAACAGGAATCCTAAAGAATTTGATTTACTTATTTTCATGGATGGACCTCAAAGGGATTCCCTAGCTGGCATCTAGAAACTGCCAGCATCTAACGACTACTGATCTTTCTTAAAGACTTAATGTGCATGCAGTTCTCAGCCAGAGGAAAGCTGCAAGCCCAGGCTTGCCAAAAACAGTAACTGGGTAGGTACCAGGCCTCTTAGTCAGAGCCACCCACATTGTTCCCAAATTTTTAATGCTGGAGTTCAAATCAAGGACTACAATTAGGTTCTAGTTTTAAGGTGAAAAAGTGATTTTTATCAGCACCATAGCCACTATCTTTTTTAAAGGGAAATAATAACTAGTAAAATCATCCTCCCCCTCAAAAGTAGACAACTGTATTCAAGTATGTAACTAAGGGTTTTCTGTGACAATCAATGTAGTTAACACAAGATCTAAAGCCAGATTCCCTGGGTTCACATATCAGAACTACCACTTCCTGTACCACATTAAACAAGTTTAAGCCTACTGAGCCTCAATTTCTTCATCTAAAAATAGGGCTGATGAGAATAGTACTTTCCTCCCAAGATAATGTGACRTTTAAAGAAAGGAATCAGTTTAATCCCTGCCATGGAGCATTGACTTAATACATACGAATTAGTGGTCACACAACATTGTAATTTACTAGGTTCTACACATTTTTAAGTATAAGTCAACGCCTTAGGAGACCAGTGTTTGATCATATCAGGGTTTGAGCAGATTCTTGGAATTTTTTTATACTCTGATATGAGTGTCATATTTAAACAGTTCAAAATTTCAGAGGACACTTATCTAAATGAAGTTCTCGAGACTAAAATTGATGTGTCTTCCCATTCTTTGAAATATGGAAATAATTGAGCTCAGAGAAGTTCAATGAAAGCCTAACTAGCATGTTTCAGAACTACTGCAACCCTTGGGATGACCATCCTTRTGGACTTATCCCTGGGGACTCCTAGCTCCCACACTGTTTTGGGGAGTTACACTTGGCAACTTTACCGTGTTGTTGATTCTTAATTAAACTCATTTATTCATTCATTCATTTACTTATCAGCCATGCCAGAGTGTTTACACTAGGCCTGACAATGTGTGGAGCACTGGAAATACAAAGATGAATCAGATACACTCCGACTTCACACAGCTCATAATCTACACCAGGAGAAACACTATATATACCAGTGCAAAAATTGCTATAATAGAATCACGTGCAAGATTACCGGGGGGGCCTAAATAAAGGAGACTAAGTAGAAGCTAACTTAGTTGTCATTGGAGTTCTCAAGGAGACCAGAGTTTAATTGAAGAAATTCACTTGGGGGCAAAAAGTGTGTTATTGGAAGAGGGAATTGAATGTGCAAAATCATTCAGGTGCCAACCAACATAGTGTATTAGAAGAGAGCAATTGATTCAGTAGCCGTGCCTTCCCCACCTCATGCACATCCTGGGATTCTGTGACAGCCAAAATAGGACCAACTCCCTGGCTGAGGTAGGGAAAGGGTGAGGGAGGGATGGGGGCCTGGGTGGTGAGTGCCACTCATCCGCTCTCCCCCCCAGGGCAATGTGTGCACTGGGAACTTCTGCCAGCCAGGTTGTCTCCCCACCTCTGCCTCTCGCTCTCACTCTTTTCAGATGGGCATCCAGCCATTGAGGCCTCTCTGCACATTCCCTTGTGGACCCCTGGAGCCACCCCAGACAGAATCTGACTGGCCTATAGGTCAGTCCCCCGCCAAGGCAATTGTCTGTAGTATCCTCCAGGGAGCTCTTCCCAGGACTTGTGGCAGGAGGCTGCTGAGCTAGCTGCATTTCACAGGCTCTGTGTTCTTAGCATAGTCCATGATGTTTGTTATTAGCACTGTCAGTGGACATCTGGGCAAAATTGAGGGGAATGTTGTTATGCTTGCTGTTTTGGTTGTGAATGCTGTTGGGATTTCCATTGAAACCAAATTAGCTTTGGCTTGTGACACACTAACGTGTCAATTCTTTGGAGACGTTAAATGCATGAGGATCATTCTTCAAAGAGGAACCCTCATTTTGATGTCRTGTGTTCTACCTTACTGGGCTATCCTCTTCAATATGGAGGATATTCTCTTGCTCTTAAAACCCTGAAGTCTTTAGGATAGTCCAAATTTATATAATTTTATTCCTGCTCTTCCAGCAGCATTTCTGTTCCAGCTGCAGACAAGATATATATGAAGTGAGGTCATCATTGTGCCTCATGACATTACCAGGATCACAGTGAATGTCCAAAATGTGAGCATGAACGTGCTCTTGTATGCCCTGGATCTTTGGTTCTGCCAAAACCACTTCGTAGTTCTTCCTGTCTGCTATGTTTTTTTTTTTTTTTTTCCCTCATTGTTTGGTGGAAAAAATTCCACCAAAAAAAATTGGGGAGGTTGGACTAGGAACTGTTTCCAAGAGTGGACATCCAGTATCAAGCTAGCTAATTCCCAGGATGTTCCTGGTGTACATGGAATGGTGGATCTTTGCGATTAGACCCTTCTTTTCAGCACTGGATGATGTGGAACAGCTAGGAGTCCAGGCCATCATTTATGAACTAGCTAGGCTTGAATTTTAGAGCTATCATTGGTTATTAGTATTATGAAGGAACAAATGAGGGGAGAGAGGATAGGGTAGAACCATATAAACTTGAGTTTCTGAGGACCTAGTTTTAAAAACTGCAATGGAATAGAAGCAAGGGAGGTAGATTTAATATTTAGGAAGTCAAATCTACTTGACATTGTGACTAATTCAGACGAATGGGGTGGGGGAGGGAGGAATCTTATGGGAAGGGAGATAATATTCTCTATTCTCAAAGGATATAGTAATAGAGAGCAAGACTTGTTTCCGATATGGACCTTATATAAACTTGCATGAGTCTGTAAGTTCTTCTGTCAGTCCAGGGCTCTTCCACTCTAAGGCGGGGCTTCAATAGTCAACTGGATTCCTTTAGGGAATCAGGTCTGTCTAGGAAATTAGTTCACTGAACATACAAAATATTTCAAAGTTTCATGCAGGAAAATTGAGGAATGAAATACTCTTGGTATGAAGTGTGGTGAAACTTATAATCAACTCCTGTACCAGTTGTGAAATCTGAGAGCATAGAGATATGACTAACAATGCGAGGAGTGTCAGTCTCATGACAGATGCTACAAGTTATGACAAATGATCTAGTAATGGCATGATAATTTAAGAAATCAACAAACATAGAGTAGTGGACTAGATGGCATACTCAGTATTGAGTGCAGAAACAGGATGGGCTTTTTTAGAGAAAAAGATGCTTCTTTTAAAAATAGCACATACTGGGGCTGGGGATGTGGCTCAAGCTGTAGCGCGCTCGCCTGGCATGCGTGCGGCCCGGGTTCGATCCTCAGCACCACATACCAACAAAGATGTTGTGTCCGCCRAGAACTAAAAAATAAATATTAAAAATTCTCTCTCTCTCTCTCCCCTCTCTCACTCTCTCTTTAAAAAAAAATAGCACATACTTTAATTCATTTGACAGTGATTAAAAGTAACATTATCAGTCATTTCCTAGAAAGCAGATCAGGTTGAAATATGACATAATTTTATTAAATTCTCAAATCAACTCTTTGAGGCAGATGATGTTATCTCAGTTTACAGAGACTTAGCAAAGTTGAAAAATTTAGTTAAGATTGTTCAGTTCTGTAAGAATTAAAACTCAGGTTAGACTTACCATTGTTTAAAACAAATTTATGTGATGAGTGATTAACTGAAAACTTTCTTTTCCCAAGTCTCTAGATAACACAAGGAGTAACATTTTTCTTAATACATTTTTTTTTAATCAGATGTCTAGGATATTCCGACGTGCTTCTGGAGGGGGTCGATTTATCAAATCTCATGTTATCAAAATAAGGTATGTAAATTTGGTTTGTAACTTCAAACCAGTACTGCTAAGATGAAATATATAATCAACATGGTTTCTGAGCTGCTCTTAGCAATTCTGTGTAGCTACACAGATTTCAAGAAACTCAGGTTATGTGTCCTAACCATTTCCCAACCACAATAGAAAGATGTAAAGTGCAATGACAAGAGAGTCTCTTACAAAAAAAAAAAATAGAGAAAAAGATACAGAAAGGGGAGGGATAGGATTAYGAACACCATCGTGCCTTGTAAGCAAGGAGTTAAGTAGAACTTAAGGTTTTTTTTTAATTTTCCTTATTTACAGTTACACAACCATCAGACTATGACTTTCTATGCAAGGGTTTTTCTTTAATGCCAGTGCGTATTTGACATTATTTTAAATGCCTTTTTATTTTGATGTTTTTGTGAAAGGTAATATATTTAAACTAAACATGAATTATTATCAGAGACTAAATTTAATTACTAGAATCCCGTTTTAATATGTTGGAAAGATTCTATACTGGGTTTCTATACCTAGATGCTATACTGTTTTGTTTTTGATGTGTGTGTGTATATATTTGTAAAATTTGTTTACTTGGTGGTGATAAAGTAAATACACGTATGATGAAATGATTAAGGCCCTTATCCCTTTTTTCACTCTTGCCCTTCCTTCTTTTGTTTCTTTACTTTTCTTACCTTTCTCCTTTTTCTATCTCCCTTCCTTTCTTTGATTCTTTTATAAGTTAAATTCATTCTGAAAAGGTTATTGGAGGCTTTCTAGTCCTACACATCACAATATGTATTATGTATTTGAATCATTGATCAAATTATCTCCTTTTACAAACTTCTTTCTCTAATTATTCACCTATTAACTGGTCATGAAATGCCTAAACATCAATGCTTTAATACAATAAAATTTTATTTCACTTCCTGGTGAAGTCTAAAGAGGCAGAAGCAGGGAAATGTGTACCAGGCTCTGCTGGTGGTCATTGTGGGGTGGAATTTCCCAAAGGACCTTCCACTTCCAATTGGCAGACCAAGGAAGAACAAGAGCATGGAAAATAGTATGGGAGTTTTATAAAGAGTCAGGCCTGGAAATGGGGGAATATTGTTTCTGCCCACATCCCATTGACCAAAATTCATTAGACCATTTCAGTCAATTTCAAGAAGGGTTGGAAATGAAATCTAGCTCTGTGTTGAAGAAGCAGAGGACATTGGGTTTGTCTCTGCCATACCACTCTGAAGAATAATGACCTCAGTTACAAATTTTGCTCATAATTCCTTAAAAAGCAAGTTGTGTAAGTGCATGTAAAGCATGATTTCATGAATATGTCTTCCCAAGAATCTCTCTAAACCCATTAGCTTTGGAAGGACGGAGGAAAAGATTTTTCAGAAATATCACTTACCTAGTATTTCTAGCATGTTACTTTTCCTTCCAACACTTCCTGATCATTATACATCCATTCTTATTCCCTTTATCTAGAAGTAATTTAAAAGCATTATCATATATGATCCATTATGTTTCTTTAAATTCAGTGATTCTGAATAGGTAATGTCACCATTTGTCTGCTGTTTTGCTCTTAGTCCAGATGAACAAGGTGTGAACATTCTTATGGTGCTCATGTTTCGATACCCATCTACTGACAGTACTGAAATAATCAGGAAAAAAATTGAAAGAAGTTTTTACCAAAGTCTGAAGATCAAACAATTGCCCCTGACCATAAATAAACCATCATTTACACTCACACGTAAGTCTTTTTCTTTAATTTCTTTCTTTTTGGAGGAGTACATTTTTGTAGTTCCCTTCAATCTCAATTTCCTTTATTTTTCAAAAGAATTTGGTCAATGTATTCTCTCATTTAAAGAATTCACTACTGATAAATATATCAATGTGGAATTAAAGTAAAATAAATATTCACTATGAAGGGAAATTTAGTGTTACTTTCTTAACATTTTACTAGGGTTTTTTGATAAAGTTTCTAATTTTTTTCCCATATAATATGATACTTGGATCCTTACAAAAGCACCAAAGGGTAGCTACTGTTTTCACTACTTATAGGTAAGGAAACTGAGAAGTTCTGAGACATAGGATAAGCAAACCTTGGGGCTAGAATTAGACATAGGCATTGTGAATCTGGGGGTTCATTTTTATAGTGTCAAAGACACAGACATATTTATCAAGGTGTGCCTGCCTAATAATAAGTGACATGAATTGTAAAGAGGTCCTGTATCTTGTTCCCAATTAAAACTATTTTTCACTTATTTTCTTATTGTTTTCACATACATGCACACACATACAAATATTAGGAAAGTTCTTTTTGTTTTTCCCCCAGAGTAGAAGAAAATTAAGTTTAGAAAGTTTAGGAAACTAAAATGAAAATCACCTTACATCTAGTTGAAATCCAAGCCAAGAGGCATTTTTATTTTCCTCTACAACATACAATTAGAAAATAAAATGGTGTATTTCAAATAAGATTTTAAGTATCAAGGACAGGAACTGTATTTTTATCTTCTTACCTCTGACTCCAATTGTAGCATACATCTCACATGAAATAGGTATTTCAGCTCTGTTCCTTATTTTATGTTATGTATTTCCAAGGTTAGTTATTTCAAATTTCATAAAAAATGTTTCATAAAAACATTTCATAAATGTTGAGGTAGAATCTCTCCAAACATTAGGGATAACTTTTCTTGAAGTCATTAGAAGTAATGAAGAGTATGGTATTCACCTTGATTGTTAATCAGCTATATTCCAAAATAAAATATAATTTTTTCTAACATTCTTGTAAAGGGAGATCTCAAATTTAATCTCAACTCCTGATAACTGTTCTTAAGGCATAATCATATATTTTAAAGCAAAATATCATTTTTTTTTCAAAGAGAGAGTGAGAGAGAGAGAGAGAGAGAGAGAGAATTTTTAATATTTATTTTTTAGTTCTCGGCGGACACAACATCTTTGTTGGTATGTGGTGCTGAGGATCGAACCCGGGCCGCACGCATGCCAGGCGAGCGCGCTACAGCTTGAGCCACATCCCCAGCCCAAAATATCAATTTTAATAGTTTATTTAGTTTTTTAAATTGTAGAATTTTTTATTTTACAATTATAAAAAGTAATTTTGGGCCTTGCTGGTCATGCACAGAGACTTTTTATTATACAGGTTGTTTTAATGCCAAAATAACTATATTCTATGATCATGCTCAATCATTCATGTTTTCTTCTGCCATATACATATCATTCATTAAAAACAGAGACATATCCAGGAAATCCCTAGAAGGGATTGGGGCTCACATCCCTCTGTGAGATGTTGTGGCTCAGAACAGACTGCCTCAAAGTATGGTGCCTTGTCATACTGATTATTTTGAACCAAAGGAAATCAAAAGGGCCTGAGAAACAGAGTATGGTGKCATAGCCTCCTCCAAAGACTATTCAGCCTGAGGCAGGAGGATCACAAGTTGGAGACCAATCTTAGCAACTTAATAAGACCTAATTCAACTTAGTGAGACCCTATCTCAAAATGAAAACTTAAAAAGGACTGGGGATATAGCTTGGTAGTAAGGTGCTGCTGGGTTCCACCCCTGGTGCCAGAGAGAGAGAGAGAGAGAGAGAGATAGGAGAGAGAGATTTTTTTAAAAAAAGACCTTAGAAGCGAGATCTTTCTGAAGATCTTTCTGTCCTTCTCCATCTCTTCTTTCTTCTGCTGGCCTTTCTCCTCCATGGTAAGTCATAGAAGCTAGAACTCTTCTTTCCCCAAACTAATGGTAAAACCTAAAAATATTATTCTAACCTTCCCTTGCACTTCTTTGTAGGAGCWGGCCATAAATAAATACTCTGACCTATGATTTCTAACTATAGATCACAAAACCTTTTTTCCTGAGGGGCCTGCCCTACACCCAGGAAGAAGGAACTCCACCTAGAGAGGTTAAGAAGACTGAACTGTCAGGCCCTGCTGGGTGGGTCCTCTGCCCACCTTAATGCATTAGCTTTAGATCACACCCTTCAGTTCGGTACATTTCTACATTTCTGACTGTTCATTCTTCATTAGACACAAGAATAAATATAGACGGTTTTCCCTGGGTTTTTCAATCTGAAGACTCCAAGATACAAGCATTTTTTTCCATAAATGCATATACTTTCTCCTGTTAATCTGCCCTTGTCAATTCTATTTCAGGAACCCTATAAACCTTTAACCTATGAAGGTTAAAGAAACTTTTCACTTCTTACAAGGGAAAGTCATTTTCCTTGAGAAAAGCACAGTATAATTCTCCATTTTCTCTGACAAATAAAACAAAATAAATGGCCACCATACCAACACAAATCCAATGTAGCTGAGTTAAAAAGAACAGGAAAAAAGTAACTCTGAAAGGAAAAAAAAATGTCTTGAAAGGAAAAGATGTCTTGAAAGAGAAGCAAAAAGTATAGTGAGAGTTTGTGCATGGGTGGGTTCTTTGGACTGTTGTATGTGAAAGAGCTCATGCCCTGCTCACAGTACCTAGCACTCATCAGGAGGAACAATCCTCAATGAGAGAAGGTTATCAATTTACCTAGACTAAATCCCTACCTTTTGTTAGACCAGGGCCTTGAAATTGGGCCCCAAGGGATCTTTGGTACCTTTTGCTCCTTAGAGCTGCCCTCTGCACTCTGGTCATTAGGAAGTTGCTTTAAACCATATAGTTTGGTAAACACTAACTACAATGGGACTCAGGTTGCTTCTCTGACTTATACTGGGGCCTTCAAAGAAAGCAACCAGGCATATTCATTCCTATTCCTTCTTTCCTGATTTTCCGATTTCTTTTTCTGTTTCTGAAGCAAAACTAGAAAATAAAATGCTCTCTGATTTTATTTTTAAGTGAAATTTTACACTTTGAACCAAAGTAGAGTATAGGGTTATTTGTATATTCTTTGGTTATMAAAACATCTTATACCTCTTGAAATATAGATGTCTCAGATAATTAACTTTTCAATTAATGATAATTTAACAATATAACATGAAAATACAAATATGTTACTCTTCCAACTAACTTGTGTTTTTGCTTCTTCCAGCTATTGACAGCAGAAAGATGAGGAATCTTCTCAATAGTCGTAAGTTTCAAAATCCACAATTAACTATTTATTTCACTGTAAAGATAATAAGAACCACAGAAAAATCAGAAGTATAATTTACTAAGATTTTTTTGCTCATTTATATTTTTATAAACCATGTATTCCTTTAATTATACTTTGCTATTTTTAATAATTAAGGTTAAATTCATAACTTTATACTAAATGTAACTTGAACTTTTATGATCCATGGGATGAGTTAAAAATTACATAGTATTCCAGATATCATATTAATAAGTTCTTTAAATATTTCTCTTTTAATATTCTCTCACAACTCAAGAGAGTGTTTTAAACTGGTAATAAGTTGAGACTTTGTTAAATTTTTTCAGTTTTCTTGCATTTTAATGGAATAGCTGATATGCACATTTTCTGCCCCCTTCTCAGCCCTGCCCCCCACGCCCATGAAAACTTTGGGTCTTTTGTGGACAAATTTTTGATACTCAGTAAATTATCTATTTATTGATAAAATACAAATCAAAATGTCTGGGTAACGGTCAAAAGAACAGAAATCTTTTTCTGCACTTTAGAGCTGCCCCCCTCACCTGTCTTGGTTAGAAAAGCCCAAGCCCATGACCATGACCAAGTGCTTGTCCAGTCTGGCTGTGTTTTCCAGTTTCTAAATCTATTCTGCACTATATTAAAACTGTCCTTTCTTGTAATTTAATCTCATTTATGATTTAGTTTACATTATCCATCTATATATGTTTCATAGAAAGATGGAAATCAATTCTTGGACTGAATGCCTCCAAATGTTGGTAATATTTCTTCTGAGCCTCAATATAATTAGTAAGAGCTATACAAAATATAAAATAACCTCAGAGGTTGAGTGCTAGGAATGGTTTAGAGGGCTGAGACAATGAATTTTCTAAGTATCTCCACACAATACAAATGTGTGTGAGTGTGTGTGTGTGTGTGTGTGTGTGTGTGTGTGTTTTCTCCTTTTTCCTTTTTCAACTAACATATATTTCTGTGTGACAGGCTGTGGAATAAGGATGACATCTTCAAACATGCCATTACCAGCATCGTCTTCTACAGAAAGGATTGTCCAAGGAAGAGAGACTGCAATGGAAGGGGAGTGGCCATGGCAGGCCAGCCTGCAGCTCATAGGGGCAGGCCATCAGTGTGGAGCCAGCCTCATCAGTAACACATGGCTGCTCACAGCAGCTCACTGTTTCCGGAGGTAAGTTCACCAGGCTGTTATGAACATTATTTTCCCAGTCTTCTCTGGCTATTGATTCAATGCATGGGAAGGGCCCAATCTCACTATTTTGTCCTCTGCTCTACTCAATATTTACCTGGCACTGTCCCCTAAATGCATYGTGCTTGCTCTATGTCCCATCCATGATGCTTGGTTTGAATTACTGGTAGTTCTTACCATGGGTTCCCCTGTGTCATCATGATCCCAGTACTATCTTTCCTATGATATCAGATGATTTTAGTGCAAAGACTAAATATTATACATGTAACAAGTTTAATCTCTTCCAAATACTCAAAGTCATCCATTTCTGTTCTGTCCTTTCCTCCCAATTAATCCCTCTAACTTCCCTCTGTTAATATTCAGTGTGACTTTAGAAATAATAAAAATAATAATAAATATCCCTCTTGACACTCTCCATTCTCACTTCATTATCCAAGAAACCCTAGTGGGCTTGTATAATTTGGAGAGGTGGAAGTTGGGCAAGACCTGCTATTTTGTCACACTGCCCTCACAATAGCAAAGACTGGTCATTTATAATCCAGCGGGAGCTATCTCCTTGGGCTTTCACAGTTGTAGCTCTCAAAATTCAGCTGTGTCAATTCTATACACAGACATACATAGGCACCCTATTACCCCGGRAGATCAGGGAAATAACCATCTTTTCATCCAGAAGTTTTATCCTCAGGGTACAGAAAATTTTTCTTTAAAGTCTCAAGATAGAAAGGTTCTGAATAAAGCCTCTTTGCCTGGCCTGAGCCACTATTTGTATACCCTTCTAGAGAATCCTATCCTTCGTTATCCTAAGATTGTTTTCATTCTTCTAAGGGTAATAACCCAAATGATTCCAGGATATTTACACCATTTTTTATGCGAATGATCTAATGAATTTATGGTGATTGTCTGTCACTCCCTCACTGAGAAGAGACTCACTTATGTATATTTATGAGTCCCAAAAATAACTAGCCTCATGCCTTAGAGGTGAACTTGAATCTCCCTCACTTGTTAAGGCTTTCTGATTTACTCATGTTCTCATAGCCTACTAATCTTTGTGCTTCTCTTTTTGTGAAAGTGTCATCCTCTTTAGTTTATAGTGGATTTCTTTTAAAGTAAACTAAAAAACAAACGAAAACAAACAAACAAAAATCAGAATTCTGGCTTTATAGAATGAATCTTTAAATAATGAAGAATATAAGCTATAATGATTGAAATACTTGCTTCAGTAGGTCTCTGTATGCTGACAGACATACATGGCAATTGGCTATTGAGCTTGATAAAGTAAAGATTACTGGTGACTTTGAAGAGAGATATTTGGTAGTGTAATTGGAATGGGAAAGGATTCAAGAAAAAATGGATGGAAGATAGGGTGCAGTATGTTTAAAGACCACTTTTAGGAATTTTTTTAATGAGAAATATGAAGTTGATGGTAGTTGTGATGAAAATGATGATATTTTTAAATGTGGAAGACAAAATTATAGTATAGTTTACACAGATAATAATAAGCCAAAAAAATTAAAAGGTAACATTTGTTGTGCTTAACTTTATTTTTAAAATTTTTTGTAGGAATAAGGACCCAAGTCAATGGATTGTGACTTTTGGTACAACTATAACACCACCTGCTGTGAAACGAAGTGTGGGGAAAATTATCCTCCATGAAAATTACCATAGAGAAACGAATGAAAATGACATTGCTTTGGCTCAGCTCACAACTCGAGTTGAATTTTCAAATATAGTCCAGAGAGTATGCCTCCCAGATTCATCTATGAAGTTGCCACCTAAAACCAGTGTTTTTGTCACAGGATTTGGTTCCATTGTAGATGATGGTGAGTGGTTTCAATCTAATTTTATGCAGCTATGTCCTGGTATCAATGAATTTCCTTGGTCTGAGTTTCCTTATACCAAAAATATACCAGTTGGACAAGACTGATGTGATCGATCGCTGTGAGAATCTCATGAAAACTGTAGAACCTCCCCTCATTAAAATATACATGTGTAAAATTTGCATATATTTTAATATTTTCTATAATATACAAATATGTAAAATATATAATATTTTGTACACAGTTTTAAGGCTGCCCTGAAAGATCCATCAATATGATACAAAATTGGGTTGTGATTATTATTTTTCTTTGTGTGCACTTACTATATAGAACATAAACTCAAGGAATAACTGAAGTTAAAAAAATAACCTTGTGATTTTGCTCCTAGAAATATATCACATTGCTGTCTCTCATGTCTTGTATACGATTATATTAGAAATACACATTGTTTGTTTGTTTGTTTGTGTAACAGGACCTACACAAAATAAACTTCGTCAAGCCAGGGTGGAAACCATAGGTACTGATGTGTGTAACAGAAAGGATGTGTATGATGGCCTGGTAACTCCAGGGATGTTGTGTGCTGGATTCATGGAAGGGAAAGTGGATGCGTGTAAGGTAAAGCTAAAGTCAAAGCCAAAACTTTAAAGGAAAAGTTTTCATTATATATTTTTAACTCTGGCATATATTTTACCTGGAAGGAAAAAAATGGCATCTACTTCACTAAGAGCTAAGTTTATCTAATATACAAATATTATTGTATTATGTTTAGTGTGTGCTAAGGCAAAAACAAAGAACTTGCTGGGGGCTGGGGATGTGGCTCAAGCAGTAGCGCGCTCACCTGGCATGTGCGGGGCGCTGGGTTCGATCCTCAACACCACATACAAACAAAGATGTTGTGTCCGCCGAAAACTAAAAAAAAAAAATATTAAAAAAAAGAACTTGCTGCATGTTATTTCATTTAATATAATGAGACATAAGCAGYACTATAATGATTCCTATCTAACAAATTAGGAAATTAAAGGCTTGCTCCATATTTCTGTTCACACAATTACTTTTATGATCTATTGTTGCTTTCTGAAAGTCATAAACAAAAGACAAGGAAACCTCTTCTCTGAAGGGCACATCACTCATGTCTTCATAATCTGTCAAATATGTTATCATCCCCCACCATCTAAGACACTCCCTTTTGTCCCTCTCACACACTGTAAACTTTGTCATCTAAAACAGGTTTCCTCTCAACCTCAAACTCTGCAGTATCAATACTGACCCATTTAAATAGTGTACTCTTAGTTCCTACATTTCCTTTCTAGTGATTGAGGATTTCTTCAGTCACCTTAGACCCTATTTTTTTTTAGGGATTTAAATCTTCTTATTTGTTTTAATTAGTTACATATGACAGTAGAATGCATTTATGCACTTCAATATATCATACATAAGAAGGGATATAATTTTTTCTGAGTGTACATGTTGCAGAATCATATTGGTCATGCAGTCACATATATACATAAAGTAATAATGTCTGTTTCATTTCTATCCCCACATCACCTTCCCTTCCCTCCATCACTACCTAATCTAAGGTAACACTATTCTTCCCTAGTGCCCCCTGCCTTATTGTGAATTAGCATCCACATATTAGAGAAAACATTCAGCCTTTGGTTTTATGGGACTGGCTTATTTCAAACTTAGCATGATATTCTCCAACTCCAACCATACTGGCAAATGCCATAATTTCTTTCTTCATTAAAGCTGAGTAATATTCCATTGAGTATATATACCACATTTTCTTTATCCATTCATCTATTGAGGAACACCTAGGCTTGTTTCATAGTCTAGCTATTGTGAAGTGAGCTGCTATAAACATTGACGTGGCTATGTCAATATGCTGATTTTAAGTCCTTTGGGTATAAACCAAGTAATGGGATAGCTGGGTCAAATGGTGGTTCCATTCCCAATTTTCTGAGGAATCTCCATACTGTTTTCCATAGTGGTTGCACCAATTTACAGTTCCACCAGCAATGTATGGGTGTACCTTTCCCCCCACATCCTTGCCAACATTTATTGTTGTCTGTATTCTTGATGATTGCTGTTCAGACAGGGATGAGATGTAATCTTAGAATAGTTTTGATTTGCATTTATCTAATTGCTAGAGATGTTGAACACTTTTTCATATATCTGTTGACCAGTTGTATTTCTTCTTCTGTGAAGTGTCTGTTCAGTTCCTTAGCCCATTTATTGATTGGGTTATTTGTTGTTGTTTTATATTTATTTATTTTTTTGGTGTTAAGTTTTTTTAGTTCTTTATATATCCTAGAGATTAATGCTTTATTGGAGGTGCATGTGGTAAAGATTTTCTCCCAATATTTAGGTTCTCTTCTCACGTTATTAATTGTTTCCTTTGCTGAGAAAAAGCTTTTTAATGTGAATCCATCCCATTTATCAATTCTTGATTTTACTTCTTGTGCTTTAGGAGTCTTGTTAAGGAAGTCAGATCCTAGGTCAATGTGGTAAAGATATGGGCCTATTTTTTGTTCTATTAGGCACAGGGTCTCTGTTCTAGTGCCTAGGTCTTTGATCTACTTTGAGTTGATTTTTGTGCAGGGTAAGAGATAGGGTTTAATTTCATTTTGCTACATATGGATTTCCAGTTTTGCCAGCACCATTTGTTGAATAGGCTATCTTTTCTCCATGAATGCTTTGGGAACCCTTATCTAATATGAGATAACCATATTTATGTGGGTTTGTTTCTGTATCCTCTATTCTGTACCATTGGTCAACGAGTCTATTTTGGTGCCAATACCATGCTGTTTTTGTTACAATAGCTCTGTAGTATAGTTTAAGTTCTGATATCCTGATGCTCCCTGCTTCACTTTTCTTGCTAAGGATTGCTTTATCTATTCTGGGTCTCTTATTTTTCCAAGAGATTTCATGAGTGCTTTTTCTAGTTCTATGAAGAATTTCATTGGGGTTTTAATATGAATTGCATTAAATCTATATAATGCTTTTGGTAGTATGGCCATTTTGACAATATTAATTTTGCCTATCCAGGAGCATGGAAGCTCTTTCCATCTTCTGAAGTTTTCTTCAATTTCTTTCTTTAGTATTCTATAGTTTTCATTATAGAGGTCTTTCATCTCTTTTGTTAGCTTGATTCCTAGGTGTTTTATTATTTTTTTTTTGAGGATATTGTAAATTACATATCAGGCTTTGTTATCATAAACACTTTCATCTTCAAAGGCACAAATTCCCATCTTCTATTTGATTAGCAACCCTGTATTTCCCCTCTGTCCACTATCTTTCAGTTGCTCCTGGTTCCTTATGTACAATCTAGAGGAAAGAGCTACCTCTTCCATCCTTTTTTGGTGTTCTTTGACAATGGCAGTTCACTATTTATTCTCACCTGGACTTCTTTTTGGGTCAGCTATTAGTGACTCCAGTCAAGTAGTATTGTGTTCTCTAGTTGTTATGGAATGTTACCTATGCTCTGTGGTCAAGTAGAACTGCTAGCTGTGCTCTGTTGTCTAGTGAGACCATTGGCTGGACTCTGTATTAAAGCTGAACTATTATTTGGGCTCTGTAATTGCTCTATTTGGGCAGTGTTATAGGTTGACTTTCCTGGCTAACCTGTTCTGCAGTTGGATATCTATAGTTGGGCAGGGCCATGTTCTTGGCTCAGAAGCTGGGAAAGAGCTCTGAGATCATTATTAAATCTTGTGAGCATAGCTGAAGAAAAGCCAGAGGCTATGTTACACAGATATATATGAACATGGGGTTATCTCCTGTCCTACTGTAGACTTAAGCATTGAGTACCAAGGCTTGGTGGCATAGCATTTTAGATGATAGGCTTGGGCAAAGTCAGATGCTTTCCTCAGCAGACATTCACGGACCTGGTCTTGACTTCTGCCTTGGCAAGTACTTTTGGAGACATTCAGGGTTTGGATGTGTTGATGCTTAGCAGTTGGATATGGGTGGGGTCAAATGTTCACTCAGTAGATATTCACCAACATATTTCTGCCTGAAAGTTGGTGGAAGAGTTAAGGAGAGCACCAGAACACTGGCTGGGGAATCTGGCCAGGGTCTCAAGTCTGGGAGACCCATTTATCATGTTTCCTGCAGCATGATGCTATTAGCTATGCTCTGGCAGTGGTGGTGTGCCCCCCACCCCACCCTATGGCCAGAATACTGAGTCACCAAGATTAGCCCTCTGGTCACTGTGAGCCCCACCCAAGTCCTTTTGTTTCTAACTTACCTCAGTTAGTCTAGCTTTGCTGATACCTCCAAAGTTCCAATGGGGTGGGACAGGAGAGGGTCTCTTATGTTGGGACCCAGAATRGTGGGGAAGCAAATGTCTGTTTCCACCTCCTTCCTCCCACTACAAAAACAGGGTCCCTTAGAATCCCCTATGCTGGCTTTCAGAAGAGCCAACATGGCCAAAATGGAACTGCTCCTGTTATAGTTCTTGTATGGCTGTCCTGGTGGAATTTCTGAGGGATGGGGAGTTGAGCAGGAAAAATCTTATTCTATCTTGCTGACATCACTCCTACCTCTTATTTTTGTCTATCTGTCTGTCTTCTCTCTGTGTCTCTTGACCTGCACCCAAGCAGTTAATTGCTCCTGGAAAAAAAAAAAATAACCTCACAGAGAACCTTAGTTTCACTAGAGATTCCAGATAACAAAGCTCATGGTCCTGCTCTGTTTCATTTTTGTTGTTGTCTGCTTTCTTGTTTTGTGCCCCCCACCACCCAATCTACCATTCTCTGAAATTTCATTAATTTCCACTTTTTCCTACCCCTTACTTGCAGCAAATGTCTGTTTTCCAATTTTTGAAGAAACCATAAGAGGGGAATTTCCCTCATTCCCAGAACCAAGCATGCAGCCCTTTCTTGGCTTGGACGCACTGCTTCCACTTTCAGCTTAGATCTCAACAGAGTAGCTATCTCTTCTCTAAAGTTCTCTGCTTATGTTCTCACTGGCCATTTGGGGAAGATTACCCTAGCAATTACTTCCTTTTTATGTTTATATTCAACATTTATCTTACACTAGATCCTTCTTTACTCAGATGCTTTAAAGTAGGGAGGAAAATCTCTTTCCTGACTGAGATGCTTCCAGATAGCATCCTATCTTGTTTCTTTATTTGGGGAGAAATATTTGGGGAGAAATTTGACACTAATTTTCTTCACACCAAATAATTTTTTAAACTATTTCAATATGATTTTGCCTTTTTACATCAGCAAAGTAGCTCTTTCTAAACTTGCCAATGACACACCAATGGCATTCATGTTTTTAAAATATTTGTGATCCTATTCTTTTTGGGTTTAGTAGCAATATTTTATGATGTTCGTCACTCCGTTTTCTTTAAACAGTGTCGTCCCTGGTTTGTAATTATTTTCAGCCCAGCTTTCCTATTCCATATCCAGTTGATGATCTAATCCCTGTGCATTTTACCTTCTTCAATATATCTCCTTCACTATCTTTCCATTGCCTTCCTCCCCTCTTTCTGCCTTCCTTCTTCTATCTTCAATAGACGCTATCAGCCATCCTGTTAATTATCCCATTTTCACTCTTAAGCTCCTCAAGTGCATTAATCAAATGAAAGCCAGCTTGATTTCTAACAAGATGCAAATCTGATCCTGTCAAACCCCTCCTTAAAATACTTCAGTGGCTTTCTTTTTTATCTTAAAATACAAAACAAAACAAAGAAACACTCCTACACAAGACCTACAGGGCTCTGCATGGACTCATCATCCCCTATCTCATCACATACAACTGGCCTGCCTTGTTCTCCTCTTTCCACACCCCACCCCAGCTACATGTAGGCCCTTGAACATTCCAGGCTTCTCTATGCACAGAATATTTGCAATAATGTTCTCTCTGCCTGGAACGCATTTCATCTTCATTTTCTTTTTCATGGTCAACCTCACTTCCTTCAGAAATCAGCTCAGTTACACTTTATGGGGGAAAACATTCCTTTCTCACCCATCAGTCACATTCCCCTATTGTAATATTTCCATAGCACCTATCACAGTTGTAATTTTGCATTTTGGTTATCACTGTATTTCAAATATCCCTAAAAATTGCTGGGACACGTAACAGGAACTCAATAAATAGTTGGGAAAAGAATAAATGAAAGAGTGAGTGGCAAAGGCTCAGAAAGGTAAAGTATTTTACCCAAGATTACATAGTAATTAATGGAACTGGACCTAAGACTCAGGCAGTTCAACTACTAAGTTCATACTTTTAACCTCTATGTGTATATCTGTTTATTTCTTTAATTTTCCCTGTTCCAAACAGATTCAAAGGAACATCTATAAAATTCAACAAGAAAACATGCATTAGAAAGAGTTCATTAAAAGAAAAGGAGATCAAGAATAGGTCTATAAAGTAGTCAAGTTAATAATATTCAAGAGAAATCATTGAAATTTTCAACCACAAATAATAATTTTACATTTAGCATTTTTATGAACAAAATATTACTAAATCAAACTAATAAAAAAAATCCAGGGGTTGGGGTTGTGACTCAGCAGTAGAGTGCTCGCCTAGCATGTGCAGGGCACTGGGTTCAATCCTCAGCACCACATAAAAAAATAAAATAAAGGTATTGTGTCCAACTACAACTAAAACAAAATACTTTTTWAAAAAAATCCAAAGATTATGGACCAGACATAATGCAACCATTCCATGTAAATTAGTTACAGTCCATGTAAAATTTTAGCACAAAATTGWAAGAAACATTATATAGTCTAAGAATAGTCTGGCTGTGTGTTTTATGTACCAAATTTGTTTTATTTCCCCTGTGGAAAAGAGATGATTACAATAATCATCCTACTGAATTAAATTGGAATTAACAATTTCAAATATGTATTTGTTTTTATTCCAGGGAGATTCTGGTGGACCTCTGGTTTATGATAATCGTGACATCTGGTATATTGTTGGTATAGTAAGTTGGGGACAATCATGTGCTCTTCCCAAAAAACCTGGTGTCTACACAAGAGTAACTAAATATCGAGACTGGATTGCCTCAAAGACTGGTATCTAGCATGGATGGTCCATGAGTTACACTGACGGCAAATAGAACTGAAACATCTACATCTTGTATATTATCATTTAGACTCATGTGGTTTGAATCAGTGCTTTTGCTACATGGCAAGAAACTTTTGAGACCTGAACCAATCTAATATTCTGAGGTGGATCTTGTGAATTTTTGAACAAACTCTACCTCGAGGGAAGAATACAACACACATGTCAGTTAGCACTGATTCCTCACTCACCTGGGAAACTGTGATAGTTCTTAATGTGATAAATACTTACAAGTGGTGTAATTCCTTGATGGAAGATGGGGATCATCATTTTTCACAGGATATGAAGTGCTGCCAGGCTGTCACAATCTTACCTTACTAACACCTGAAGCATCAGGGATTCTTCTAGCAAAAAGTCAAACAGCAGTCTTTCCTGAAAATTCAGAGCTTCAAGATTCTACACTGGACATTTCATGGCTGGAATGGAGGAGCATGGGATCTGCAATATAACTTGAACTTTAACCTGGGTTTATATATAGCAGTACAGAGCATTATCATGTATCTGAACTTGCCATTAACACTGCATTAGGCACTCAAGGACTAGCTTCCAGAAGTTGTTGTGTTGTTAAGAAGCATTTCTTATTTATTCTTCAATGATATCTTGCCATCTATACAGAGTCAGAGTCAGCCCAAAATGAAGAAGATTCTTGGGAACAATTTTCCAYGAGTACAAGGAAGATATAAAGAAGGGGACAAAGATTAGCAGAGTTGGTTTTGAATGATTATTTGTGGAAAAAACACTCTAAATATTTGATGGAATGAGCCATACACTTATTTGTTTAGTGATATCTACATCAGCATATGATATCTGGTGCTTTTTTAAGTCAGCAGCTCAGCTTTCCAACAGATCAGATGTGTATCAGAACGTAGAATGTAGAACTGATTTGTATGAAGTACTTAGGACAGTGCCTGGCATACACTGAGCACTAAATAAAGGGAAACAAATGCCTCAGCAAGCTTTAGATAAATGAATTCAAATTTGTCAAATAACTGAATGACCTTAGGGTTAAATATAGCTCAAAGCCTAGTGATGGGCATAGTCATACAGAGCACAGACTCTTTGAAACAGGGCTGCCGAGTTTGAACCTTGTCTCTGTCACATTTGAACTATTTCCTTCAGCAAATTACTTAACATCTCTATTCATTAGCTCTTTCATCTCTAATTGGGACTGAAAAAAAGGAATACCTCATATGGCTGTTTATGAGGACTGAATGCATTAACTTAAGTAGAACACTTGCATSGGGGTCTGCACATAGTAAGCTCTCAAAATGGATGATTACTGTTAATCATTATTAATATACTTTGGCCCTAATAAAACTTACTATACTTTTTAAAAATTGCCCTTTGCTTCTTTAAAGTGATGCAATCAATTTCAAATTACTTTAAATTAAATTATAAAAACATTAAGTGAAGTACTATGCTAGATTACCAAAATCACTTTTATATTCCTTAATTTACTTCAAACTATGTCTACTTATAGACAAACGCTCAGGATGACCATCTGGGGCCATGGTTGTGGCTACAGAAGTGCATCTGTATTCACTCCCAGCCTTCAAATGTGAGACAAGATTTTTTGCTCTTATTTATCAGAGAAAACTTGGCCCATCCAGTTCTTTAATGATCAAAAGTTTTGTTTTATTTTGTTAGTTTATATGTATATGTACTTTTCTGTAATATGTGTAAATAAGATAAACATAACTAAAGAAAATCTCCTAGTTGTTATTGTTTGTAAGACCATAAGCACAGAGGGTTCATGCATGCATGCACACTTTACTTTTTAAAAGGAAAGTTATCAACTTTCTGATTTGATGACTAGTAACAAGTAAATATTATCAGAATAAGCAGAATAAAACTTAAATTCTCATACTTCCTTAATTCTAAGTTCCTATATTCTGCAAATAGCACAAAAACATCTAAAGCTTTCAAAAGAACATTTGGCCTATTAAAGATGTGCGTGATTGATCTTAGACACTTTTTATWTTAAAGGTAAACACCTCTTCTTGTACATAGAAGAAAGCAAACCTGCCTCAGAAAAACAAATTGCTTTCTTCCATGTAAGTTCTAAAATAATGGATGTGTAACATTGTGCAATTTTATTTATATTTCACAAGACTGTGATAACTTTTGTGCATATATATCTGTGAAACTATACTTATTTAAATATTTCTATGCTTAATTAAAATCAATTCGATGACATTCACAAATGAGAAGAATAAATACAAAAGATCATATGGAAAGCTGAGCAATGGAAAAGTGGAATTTTTAAAGGAGGATTTATGTGTCATCAAGTTTGGTATTTGACCCACTGAATGGTGTTATAGGAATTATGCAGTGTCTTTTACCTCATGTTTTCCTCTGCCAAATGGGACATTAAGCTATCTACCTCATGGCATTGTTGTGAGGCTTTCCTGCTGAGTGATAAAGATGAAAAGTCAAAGAATATTTAAGACTTGCTTAAAAGTGCAAAGTATATTATTGTAAACTGATATTAATACAGCTGATGCTGAAAATGCATTAAGATTATAAATTTTTTTTACGGTGTTGGCATTTTAATGCTTTGTGAATTTTGCAAATATATTTGTGGTTAAAAACAAACAAACAAAACATTAAAGTTTGCCTCCTGTGTGGTGATGTTATATTAACATTCACATTTTCTCATAGAAAAAAAGCCTGCAATTTGTCAAACTCATTTTAAAAGACAGATCAAAACTATGATCTGACAGTAAATAAYGCAAAATCTACTCCCTAAAAATCTTCACAGAATTTTGTGCAGCATGGGTACTAAAGAGTTAGTTTACATTTTAAAACCTAGAAGAAGCTAATTTATAACCTAGAAGCTAGAAGCTAGAAGATTGAACCAAAATTTTTGCTAATGGTTAACTATCTCTCAGTGACATTTTCACAACTCAACAGTAACAACAAATAAATATATTAATGGGAATCTGCCCTTTCAACTGAACAAATTTGTTAATATTTTTATTTGTTAATCTATTGTTTGATAGAGAATGTGTGGGAGACATTTGTTCATGAAATTGTGGAAATAAAAAATAAACTCATCATAAATGATTGAAATTAATGCTGAGCTTATAGCTGCTAGTACTGGGAGAAACTTAAGTGATTATTTACATCAACTTCCTATTTTGAATAGTGTGATGTCAAGACCAATTGAATTTCTTCAAGTTTGTACAGTAGGCTATTGCCAGTGTAGGAACAAAATCTAGAAGTATTTGTTATCCAGTCCTATCTTATCCCAAATGTTATAACCTGAGTTATGCAGGCTCAGTAGGCAGGAACATTGTGATCCCAGAAGTCACTGAAATTAATGAACATTGCCAATCCATTGCTTCTTTAATCCTCCCAGTACCCCCACCACCCCTGCTCCGCCAAAAAAAAAAAAAAAAAAAAAGATGAGATAAGCTAAATGTGCCAAAGTACATCGGGGATCAAACCACAAGTCTTATGCTTTAGATAACAACCTACTTTTTATACCTATACCTAAGGAAATGAAGGATGGTTTTGTGTAGGCAATACTGCTCAGCTAATTAAACTGGCAAGTCATAATACTCCATGAAAATTTATCCTCCAAATTCATATCTCAGTCATTCCTTTTCTCGTTGTCTACACTAAGCTTTATAATTATGAAGTAATATAAAACCTTGATATGCTACAAATAAAAAATCCATATCATATTTTAAAATGAGGAGCAGTAAAAAATTTGAACTTTTTTAAAATAACAAATGTAAATTGCTCATGTTCTTTGTAATGATTCATTAGAAAATCTATTTTACCAAGAAAACTATAGAAACCCAAAATATGTAGGAAATTTTTAAAAAGTTTTAACTAAGCTGCTTTCATAAATGCTTATAATGAACATTCTTTTATAGGTTTTGATATTTTCCTTGCCTTAAAGTTAAGTCATCTGATTTTTGACAAAGGTATCAAAAATGCGTGCTGGAGAAAAAAAGATGGCCTTTTTTGACAGATAGTGCTGGGAAAACAGGATATCCACATGTATGAGACTGAAACTAGATCCCTATTTCTAACTCTGTACTGAAGTCAACTAAAAATGGATCAAAGACTTAGGTATAAGACCAGAAATGGTGCACCCCCTAGAAAAAAAATCATAGGGAGGAAACTCCAACATAGAGGCACAGGCAATGACTTCCTAAATAGGACTCCTTTAGTTCAGGAAACAAAACCAAGAATTGATAAATGAGATAGTATCTAATTTAAAACCTTCTTCACAGCAAAAGAAAGAATTGTGAAGAGATCTTTGCCAGCTCCTCTTCTGACTAAACATTAATATTCAGAATATGGAAAGAACCAAAAAGAAAAAAAATGTAAAACTAATTAAAACATCAAAAAACCATATAAAACTAATTRAAACAAATTTTTAAAAATTTTTAAAAAACCAAATAACCCATTTTATAAATGATTGTGTGAACTATGCAGACACTTCTCTAAAGAAGTGCAAATGGCCAACAATTATATGAAAAAATATGTTCAATATCTTCAGCATTAGGGAAATGAAGTAAAAAACCACATTGAGATTCTATCTCACTACAGAATGGCAATCATGCAAGGAAACATCAAACTCTCATACACTGTGAAAATATAAATTAACACAACCACTATGGAAGTTAGTACAAAGTTTCCTCAAAAAAACTAGAAATGGAACTACCATATGATCCAGCTATAAGCACTCCTTGGTATTTATTCAAAAGTATTAAAGTCTGTATATTTTAGAGACACAGGCAAACCAATGTTTATAGCAGGACAATTCAGAATAACCACATTATGGAATCAGTTTAGGTATCCATCAACAGCTGAATGCATAAAGAAAATGTGGCATAAACACAAGGGCGTTTTATTCAGCCATAAAAAAGAAATAATACCATTTGTAGGAAAATAAATGAAAATGGAGAGAATAATATTAAACAAAATAAGCCAGACTCAAAA